CATACTTGATTGTGATTGGTCAATTTCTTAAAGCTTAGAGCTTAAATCACCTATTGTGGACCGGCACTTAAGAAATTGACCAATCACAATCAAGTACAAGGAGAATACTCGACTGTGATTAGTCAATTTCTTAAGGCTTAGGGCTTAAATCACCTATTGTAGACCGGCACTAAGTGCCAGTCGACAATAGATGATTTAAGCCCTAAGCCTTAAGAAATTGACTAATCACAGTCGAGTATTCTCCTCATACTTGTCTGTGATTGGTCAATTTCTTAAGTGCCGGTCCACAATAGGTGATTTAAGCTCTAAGCCTTAAGAAATTGACTAATCACAGTCAAGTATGAGGAGAATACTCGACTGTGATTAGTTAATTTCTTAAGGCTTAGGGCTTAAATCATCTATTGTCGACTGGCACTTAGTGCCGGTCGACAATAGGTGATTTAAGCTCTAAGCCTTAAGAAATTGACTAATCACAGTCAAGTATGAGGAGAATACTCGACTGTGATTAGTTAATTTCTTAAGGCTTAGAGCTTAAATCACCTATTGTAGATCGGCACTAAGAAAGAAGAAGAAAAAGCAACACGTAACTAACTTCCGTTACAGCCTTGGTCAAGTACGGACGTGTTCTGACACGTTACGCGTGTGTCCTTTGGATTTTATTTTTGAATTTTATCTTCATAACATAGATATTAGTACAAGAATCTTGAAGTAATTAAAATGGTATTTTAATTTATTTTTATTTAGTAAATATATATAATGTATTCTGAAAGTTGAGAAGATATGTTATGGAAATAGACTTAATCGGGTGCGCATATCATTTACTAAATTATAATGAATAACAACTGCCATTGTAAAATCATGCTCTGATGTAATAGCTCATAGAAATCTTAGCGAGCATTTTCAAAAATACTGACAGTTAAAAGTAAAATGTTTAGAACAGTAAATATATTTATATCAGAGATAGTTATTCTACTAACGGAAATAAATTATATATGTTTGTGATTTAATGAGTATGACTAATATTTTTATTTAACGTATGTTCTCTAGATTGGAGAAGAAGACAAAGAATTTGCAGATAGCAGAACGAAATGCAATGATACATGAAAAATGCTCCAGTGATTTGCAATCGTGGGCGAAGTGCAAGACACTTACGGAGAAACAAAGTGATCGATCGAAAGCATTGCTCGATGCTTTGAAACACCAGGAGAAGGAGCAAATCGATTTTACAAACGTTGTCATATCACGTCCCAGTGAAAACAACCTAATCAAAGTGATGTCAAAATGTCATCAAATTGATGAGGATAATGATGTCAAGAAGAGAGATCAAAATGATGGCAAAAAGATGGCAATTCGACTGCAAAACGTCTCATACCTTGATGATGATCCTGATTGTCAGTTGATGATTTGTTTGTTTGATGTCAAAGTAATTATCACTTTCTACAGGAATAAATGCAAGATCAAAACTAAATTACATTGAATAGGAACAGAGACAAAATAAAAACAAAAATGTATTACATAGTTTTTTATTCGGGTGTAAAAACCACTTCAAATTACTTTGCTCTTAAAGTCATATGAAACTATATAATCATACAGCCTTTAAATAAAAAATACAATAAATAATCACAAATGCTTGATTAATGCTTCAATATTTTTTTATATAAGCACTACTATATTAGATTTTCATTAAGTCAGTCATGAAAGAAAACATCACAAAAGCTTGTATTATATATGATGCAAATTAACTAAAGACTAAAATAAAACATATTTATTGCTGTTTAAGTATCATACTATTCTCAGACTGGCACTATCAGTTATGTAACTAAAAGTCATAAAGTCTCATCATGAAAGTAGTGCGACAAGCTACAATTAAAACAAGTATTGAAAGACATTTCATATCCCTGCTAAGTTTAAGAGCATAAAAGAAATAAAAAGTAAGAACCGAACTCCACGATTAAGCTAGCAAGATAAACATAAACAAGTTAACAAATAAATTTAGTTAACATAACAAATAAACAAATAAACTAAAAACATTAATAAAACATATTTGGTATTGCTTAATGAGATACTATTTCCACATTGGGAAAATATCAGTCATATGTAACAAAAATTCATAAGTCTTGTGATAAAAATTAGATGTACGTATAACAAATCATGAGCCTCTTACTACGCTGCTAAGATTCAAGATTGAAATTTGACCAATCAGAATAAAGAAATGTTAGTCCTTTTTGTTCTGATTAGTCAAATTCTAATCTTTAATCTTCAATCTTCAATTTTTAATGCGTAGTCTGATACGGGCTTTATTACAAAAATGCGACTTTCTCAAATAAAAATATTAATGAATATGTAATTCCCAAATGATTTCTAATCGATTCCGTTCATAATATTTATTAAACATAATTAAGTTTTGCTAACTTGACGTTCGATAAATTTTTATTATTACAAAGAAAATATTGTTTCCTAAATGTTAAAATGATTTTCCTAAACTACCCCAAACGATTCCCAAATTATATAATATAAAATAATTAAAAAATATTTGATTTCCCTGCTAACTCTACGGCGTTTTATACTTGAGCTGCGTTCCGAAATCACGCTTACGCGCTGAAAGCGTTGTTCATCTTTGTTATTTACGGAAAGTTAAATAAGGACAAAGCATGCTCATAGCGTTGAAAGCGTGCTCCTGAAACGCAGCCATAGTATAAGGGCCACCGCACAAGCTCTTCCGTAACGCGTTACGTTACGTTAAGTACTAACCGTAAACTTAGATTCGTCCGTAATCTTAAACTTCAGTCAACGCACAGAGAAAATCGTAACGTAGCATGCTTTTGTTACGTTACAATTTTCTCTGTGCGTTGACTGAAATTTAAGATTACGTACGAGTTTAGGTTTAGAATTAGTGTCTTAATTACATCGTGAGCAGTGTTGCCAACTCGTGAACTAGTGCAACCAGTTCTCACTATGAACTACCTGTACTAGATCCGGGGCTCCGTAAAGTTAGCCGGACCACTTTAACTTTTTGATAATTAAAATTATCTAATCGTTTGGTGGTTGTTTGGTGATGATTGGTAGCCTAATTAAAACTTTTGGTGGTCAATCGTTTTTTTTAAATTAAATAATTAAAATATTGTTGTAAAGTTAGCAGGACATTTTTAGTCTAATCCATTAAATCAAGACTTATTCGATGCAGAATCGTTAGTGTTCGGGAGTCGACCTCGACGAGTTCGCCCGAATCTTAGAGAAACGCTCAGAGATGAGCGAGAAGCGGTGTGTAACGCGAATCCGTAGATTCGCTGGAGGATAAGGAAATTGAGAAAAGAATCGAGTGCAGATTGTTAGGAAAGTTCCCTTTAATTTTGAATAATAGGAGCGAGCGACGGCCCGTATTCCGCGACTCCGACGGAAATCTTCAAAATGTCCTGTTAATGACTGCCTTCGACGCGTATCGGAAATCTTGTAGAGCTTCTTGCTAGAGGCTCTCGCGAGAACGGATATCTTGCACGCGGACGCCGGATGTTGCTTGGCGCGAGGCAGAGGACATTCGCGGAACGGTTAACGCGCGTCGACTCTCGGACTCCACACTCTAAACAATCACAAACTCCAGAAGTATTGGTAGTCACAAATCCTTTATTTACAACGTTTGGTAGTCCATAATTTATCCAAAAAGTAAAAAAAAACCATGTGCATTGACCCTTCGCCTGCGCATGCCTTTGTCGTGTAAGGCCCGGTCTACATAGGACGCAACACGGCAGACGCAAGCAAAATCGACCAATCATAGTCGAATATTCTCGAAATAATCGACTGTGATTGGTCGCTTTTGCTTGCGTCTGGCGTGTTGCATCCTATGTAGACCGGGCTTAATGGCTCTTGCAGCCAGCGCGATGACGCGTCGCACGATATCCAATGAGGGTAAATAGTGTGTGTGCGCGCGCGCGCGTGCTTCCTGTCCATGCATATACTTTAGTATATTCGATTGCGATTGCCTCAGCCAATCAGAAAGCACCAATTGCAAGTATGATTGGAGCGTAGCAAATCACAATCGCAAATGCATTCGCAATCGCAGCCGCTAGTGTGATTCGGGCTTAACACGACGAAGGCATGCGCAGGCGCAGGGTCAATGCACATGTTTTTTTTTACTTTTTGGATAAATTATGGACTACCAAACGTTGTAAATAAAGGATTTGTGACTACCTAACGATTATGCATCGAATAAGCTTTGATTTAATCGATTAGACTAAAAATTAAAAATGTCCGGCTAACTTTACACCAATATTTTAATTATTAAAAAGTTAAAGTGGTCCGGCTAACTTTATGCAGCTTAAGGTGCCATTACATGGAGCGCGGAAACGCGGATTAGCGTAACGCAGAACGAGAGTGAAACCAATCGCGAGCATTCTGCAGTTTTTGTTACGCTCGCGATTGGTTCCTTCCTCGTTCCGCGTTACGCTAATCCGCGCTTCATGTAATGGCACCCTTAGATCCGGAGATAGAGCAAGCAGTGCAGGATTCATATTAACCCCGGAAATTAGCAAAAATTGTAGCAAAATACTTTAATCTAACTCAAAATCTTCCAGTTTTACTAGTTTATTTTGTTTCTTAAAATTAATTTTATGGGGTATTCAAGATAAAAAATTTTTGTCATAACTTATGAAAAATATTAATTACAACTATGAAGACATTAAAAATCATATTATTTTGTGATATTTCGATTCTTTTTTTTAATCCAGATCTATTAATTTGATTTTTCGAACAATATAAACATTAGAAATGTTTTTTTTTTTAATTTTGATAGTTTCATATTACTATTATACAACCAAAAAATCTCAAAAGAGAGGGAGAGAGCACAAGTGAATATTATTGTTATTATACATAATATTGCTGTATGTTTATTGTGTTACATTATTTTCCAAACACACACGCGCGCGCGCGCGCACACACACACATACGCATATATAAGCACTTATAATACTTATCTTTTTCTTTCCTTCCCTATATTCTTATATTTATGCATAATTCTTGTCACCTTAGCACTGTTGCTTTTGTTGTTTCCATATTGATATTCTTTCTTTCAAATCGGGCACTGCAATTTCAAAAAAAAATATTAATTTCAGATACATTTCTACATGGATAAAAAAACTTACAATAGTTTAAAATACATATTTTATTATACATATTTTAAAATCGGCATAAGATATTAAAAAATTTCAATACGATAGACTTTAAAAGACAGTCAAAAACTATATTATCTATGACGCATCAAATATTTTTCTAATATATTTATGTATATGAAAATGCATTGTTATGAAATGTTACCAATATTTAGACTAAAAGAAAGTTGACTTTATCAAAAAAGAGAAAAATATGAACAATACACGTATTACTTACTTGGCACAAGCATATCTTCGCTAAGCGGCTGCCAATTAAAAGGATCCGTGGCACTGTTGAGTAAATGTCTAATGATAACTGCTTTGTCCACAACAATACCAGACGGTAGCTTGACTGGATCCTCCATAAGAGTGTCCATCAATGGATCCCGAAATTCTTCAGGAGCGTCGCCACGTGCGCGATTGTCTCTTGCGATTACCGCCGCACGCTCAGCGAGAGCTACGAAACTCTCAATTTCCGTCGTAGTTTTAATGGCGGATCTCTCTAATTCATTCGCAGCGTCGGTGAATAACTCGTTATAAAACAAATGCTGCAAAAATGAATTTTTATATATATATATATATACACATATATGTGTAATATATGTATATGATATATTATAAAAGATACTCACTTCATCACTGGCTAAAGCAGCCGCAAAATTATCACAGTCAAGATGTAAATATATATCAATCAATTGACTGAATAACTTCTTCGGTTGCCATCCGTATTTTTCCAGTTTTTTCACTGTCAAATTTTCAGGCTTAGATCCGCACAACTGTTGCAAATGAAAATTCAGCATGGCACACAATTGTCCGACTAATTCCGGTCGTAGAAACGGTTCCTTAATGTCGACTGTTAAATAATGAAACATGGCAACTATTTCCTTGGCTAATTTAAGAGAGAATCTGGCTTGTTCCTCGTTTGCCGCCAGCTGTCTCGTTCTCGATTGTTGTTGCTCCTGCGAAATAGCATTCCACGCGATAGTGTCGGACATAAATTCCTCCACCTCGAGTATATACTTCAGATGTTCCAAAATCTTCTCCAGCAGGAAGGTGATGTCGTTCATCAATATGTTGATAAACTTGATGAAGTGCTTGCCGTTATTACTCTCATTGACGATAGACGCTCGATGCATCGGGCTATGCCATAACGAATTTAAAATCACACTTACGTGATAACATATTGTAAACTTATCCTTAAATCCGGAACTAATGTGAATGGTTTCAACGTCGGTATAAAACTTTATGAGATACGACGCCAGAAATGTCTTGGATATAGGATGTGCCATGAATTTGTGCCCAAAAGTTCCTCGTGTACAAACTCCTACCTGAATCTTATAAAGAAACTTGATGATTTTTGCAATAAGATGCGGATTTCGTATACAATGTGGCGTACACACGACGACAAGTAACAAAGTGATAAGCGACGATATATCTATATCAAACCGAATTGGGCAGAATCTGCAAATAAAACAATACAGTTATAATTGTTAATAAGCTCCAGATAAGCATTATGTATAATTTGTGAGATTTGATAATTTAGTAAAAACTTACTCGAATATGAATAACAAGAATTCCACTATGTCTTCTATGTACCATTCTGGTAATGCGGTGAATTTGCATATAACTTCTTGAGGTAACGGAAGTTCGGGAAGAAAATGATCCGGAGCAGTCTGCGTTAGAAGACTCAGCAAAAATTCGGCGACCAATATATAAAAGCCTAAGCATCTTTCCAAAAAAATTTGCTGTATCAGAGCTACCTCTGCACATAATTTGAATGTAACCAGTTGCTTCAACTGTTGCTTCCATTGTTTGATCAAGTCTTTATTGTGCTCCGCTAAAGGATCATCTTTCCATTGAGATTCTGTAGCTTGCAGTTCGTCGAGCATTTTTTGTAAATTCTTTGAGGCGTACAATTTTTTCCGATAATTTTGCAACGCCGGTAACAGCGCAATGTGATGACAATGCAGCGTGAGGAACCAACATTGTGTCGGAAACTTCGGTTCCGTCCATTTATGTGTGCTGTCCAAATGTTTCTGCCATTCCGCAACCTCTTGCAAAGTGAGTTTCAGTCTTGTGTCGTTCTTTATCTCGACGAAATTGGATGGATGAAATGGATATAGCGGGTCTACAGTATCCAGGTTGATCTTCACGGAGAGCATTTGCAAAATCGATAGTAGATGCAACATAAATCCATCTCCGGCCAAGGAGGGACTGTCCTCCGTCTGTATTTGCGCGCGTTTCTCGTTGTGACGTAGCAACGCCGCCAAGTACACAAGAGTGGCATCGCGGCAGCTGCTATTCGCGAGTATTGTATCAAACATCTTGTGCAATGACGTTCTGGTATTCTCCAACCCTAGCTGCAGCGTGAAAATCATCGATTTGTTCGTGACAGGAGTTTTATTGAAGAATCCCTCCAGCAGTTTCGGTTGCACTTCGGCAAATACCAATGCCGAGAGAAACCATCCCAGGAGTGAGGTTCTCGAGAGCTCTCTTCCGGCTGCTGATGTCATAACATCAGGCAAGAATTGAACTTGATTCGTTATCAAACGACAAATCGGATGTATATTGCTGTTTGGTCCACAGCGAATCTCTATCAGTTCGGCTAGCGCCTCGATTGGTCTTTGCGTTTTGTTGTATAAGCTCGCCTTCTGTATCGCGTCATACAGGCCTTGCAAGACTGGAGTGAAAATGTTATCGAATATGTTCGGATTCGTGTGTGTCCTAGCCACGAGCTCGCGAAGATAGCCCCGAGGTAAGTTCTGCAATAATATCCGATTGAAAAGATAAGTGGTGCATTTAGGTATGACAGCAGTTTGGCAAATGCCGATTAACCCTTGTAGAACGAGGCTGGAATACTGAACACATTGCGCTTTCAAAATTGCCACTACTTCGTAGAGAGTTTCAGAGAGAAGTAGACAGGACTGCTATAAAATATATAAAAAAGAATTAGTTTAATAAAATCTTGTCTAATTTTGAAGATATGTGTGTGTGTATGTGCGTACCTTTTCATGATTTCTTTCTTCAATTGCAATCCTTGAATAACAATCTAATAAATAAGTAAAACTTTTCGGTTCTAATGAACTGTCGCCTAGTAATGATATCGTCGGTAATTGATAAGATGAAGAAGCCACCACAAGACTTAACAAAGGACTCGCTTGACTATTCGGACTGTCTTCACAGCCAGATGACACGTCTATCAAAGGATCCTCCCCTCTCGAAAACATATACAAAACCTCCTGCAATGCCTGATGAATAATATCGCTACAATTCATGCTTCTCTGTGTTTGCATGTATGCTGCCGATGTTTGCGGCAGAAATATGCTTCCCTCTATAGGGCTTTTCCACGATACGCACAAGACACGTGATATGATAACGTTTGCAAAATCGTCTCGCTCCTTCATCCAATGTTTAAAAGTGAGCAATACTTTCAATTGCTTTGAACTTTCTATCTCCGTAAGTGTCTTGCACTTCGCCCATGATTGCAAATCACAGGAGCATTTTTCATGTATCATTGCATTTCGTTCTGCTATCTGCAAATTCTTTGTCTTCTTCTCCAATCTAGAGAACATACGTTAAATAAAAATATTAGTCATACTCATTAAATCACAAACATATATAATTTATTTCCGTTAGTAGAATAACTATCTCCGATATGAATACATTAATTGTTCTAAACATTTTACTTTTAACTCTCAGTATTTTTGAAAATGCTCGCTAAGATTTCTATGAGCTATTACATCAGAGCATGATTTTATAGTGGCAGCTGTTATTCATTATAATTTAGTAAACGATATGCGCACCCGATTAAGTCTAGTTACATAACATATCTTCTCAACTTTCAGAATACATTATATATATTTGCTAAATAAAAATTAATTAAAATACCATTTTAATTACTTCAAGATTCTTGTACTAATATCTGTTATTTTTTAATACATAGCATAAGCTTTATAGCATTGAAATCCGAACGTTACTACCGCAGTGCACTTATTTTCATTAAACAACGGTACACATTTATCATGCATCCAACAAGCGACCCAATTCATGTTTAAGCACAAAACGGAATGAAAATTCTTACATCGAGTTATTTCTGTATAGAAATTCACATTCTAGACAGACACAATGATTCTCAAAATATCACAAGCTTAATTACGCCAATATCTATCAATATTAATATAATTTTTATTAACGCCATTTGACTTTCCTACCCATTTCGCAAGTAAAGAAACAATGTGAAAAAATACTACAGTATCACTTACTTGTTCTTGAGATCTTCGTTATCATTCCGCAAGCGTTTGATATTGAGCTCAAACTTGACGCGTTCTGTGTCCGCCTCGTCGAGCAACTTCCGCTTGTTAGAGAGTACGGTTTCGATGTTGGACATTTCCCGAGTGAAAGTTTCCTGCGTGGTTTGCACTTCCCGCTTCAACCGCGAGTTCTCAGATTCGAGATAACGCATCGTGTCGATATAAGATGCCCGATCGCTGGGGCTGAGCGGGCTGCCAGGCTGTCGGCTGACGATCGGCGCCAACGTGCTCGGCGGCGATTGGATGATACTCCACGACGATGAGGCGGTGTTTGTCGTGAAGGACGGGATGGTTGTCGCGGAGGACAGGACGGTTGTCGCGGAGGACAGGACAGTTGTCGCGAAGGACGGGACGGTTGTTGCGGAGGACGCAGCAATTGTCGCGGAGGACGGGACGGTTGTCGCGGAAGACGCGGCGGCCGCCGTATTCTTCCTAGGCATCGTATTCGCCGTTTAGGTTAGTGGGTACGTGGTCTTTCTCTCGTATGCGGTTTCCTTGTCACGTGTCGCTCTCGGTTAGATTAACCGACGGTTAAAATTAGCAGGGTGGCCAACAGAAAATAGAGGTGAAAGAAAACCAAGCATTCTTATCATTTCAGTTGGAACCCTGCTAATTTTAACCGTCGGTTAATCTAACCGAGTTTGGTGAAATTGGCCCTTAAGTCGTAAGCTTTAGTGCCGGTCTACAATAAGTGATTTAAGCCTTAAGCCTTAAGAAATTGACTAATCACAGTTGAGTATTCTCCTCATACTTGATTGTGATTGATCAATTTCTTAAGTCTTAGGGCTTAAGAGCCACCGCACAAGCTTTTCCGTAATGCATTACGTTACGTTAAATACTGATTTTAAACCTAAGCCCGTACGTAATCTTAAGGGCATTCTACAATGGCAGTAGGCAGTACAGAGTGAGGAGTAAGATTTTAAGAGTTGGTTTTAAGAGCAAATGGGAATTGCCCATTTCGTTACTCTCGGTCTTTACATCACTAAAAACAGTATACTCTCCTACTCCTACAGTCTTGTTACTGCCATTGTAGACGGGCCTTAAGGTTACGGACGAATCTAAGTTTACGGTTAGTACTTAACGTAACGTAACGCGTTACGGAAGAGCTTGTGCGGTGGCCCTTAAGCACAATCTTAAGATGTCCTAAACCAATCACAGAGTTTAGAATCAGTACTTAACGTAACGTAATGCATTACGGAAAACCTTGTGCGGTGGCCCTTAAGCAGTAAGACTTAAGACGTAAGCGAATTGACCAATCACGGTGGAACAGTAAGGCAGCCATATTGAAACGTGTAACAAGCCGCTTTCGCGAGGCGGGCGACGGATAACTCAGTCGGGATCCTGGGTTCGGGAAAACGGTATCGAGACACGAATGCGTTTTGATGTTTGGTAAAATGTAATTTATTTCGTGTAAATGCATGGTGGTACAGCGTGAGTGTATGTGTAGGTGTACGAGAGGTGTGTACAATGTGAGTGTATGTGTGCGCGAGACGAGTGGCGAGTGTGAGAACGGATAATGTATGTATGCGCGTACGGATAAAGTATAGATGCGAGTATGTACAATGTGTGGGTGCGGTTACGTAATGTCGGTGTGCGAGTACGTATAAAGTATAGATGCGAGTATGTACAATGTGTGGGTGCGGTTACGTAATGTCGGTGTGCGAGTACGTATAAAGTATAGATGCGAGTATGTACAATGTGTGGGTGCGGTTACGTAATGTCGGTGTGCGAGTACGTATAAAGTATAGATGCGAGTATGTACAATGTGTGTGTGTGCGGTTACGCAATGTCGGTGTGTGAGTACGTATAAAGTATCTATGCGAGTATGTACAATGTGTGTGTGCGGTTACGCACTGTATGTGTGCGAGTATGCAATGCCGGGGGTGCATGCAATGCACCGCGATTGCGCGCAGCGCGATTCGCGTTTTCGGGTGTTCGGTCGCGTATCGATTATAAATCGCGCAGCGTAAATCCGGCAGGAGCCGTTAGCTGTCGGGTGGTCCTTTTCGGCCGCGTCAGTGGGCGGTGGGCGGTCCTTCGACGCGGATATTGATTTCGGCTGTCGATCGGTGTCGCGGTAGGGCGCAGGTCGGCCCTCGGCGCGGGACTTAGCGCTCCTGTCTTAATGGCGCGTCCCGATGTCGTAATGGCGGTCGGGCCGTATTAGATACGCGTGTCTAGTGCGGTCGGTAGTACGTCTGGATGGTCTGTCCCCGTGTAATTAAGGAGTGCAACGGCCGCTCGAAGCGGCGCGCGCAGCTCGGGTATTTTCGGTACAGGTCGGGTCGGTTACCCGAGCGCGTCGTCGATTCGAGATGTTTACGCGCGCCTAACGGCGGTTTAATATGCGCGCGTTTCTATTATCGTTTAAAAATGGGCGCTCGGCGCCTCCGCATTT